ATATTACATGAAATAATCAGAAAATATATAGAAAATGATTAGTGAATTTCAGGAGTTCGCAATACATCAATCATAGTTAATAAATTTAGGTTCCGCTAAAACTATGTCATTATTTATTGACAAAATTTATTACACGATAATAAGTCACAGATTTAGTCGATCAAATTTATTCTGTCAAAATAAGCGTTGAAGTTGGTACTGAGCTATATCAAAGGTTGCAGCGATCTTTTTTAAAATTAGGAAAACAAACAGGATAAATCCGTAAGAAAAATCAGGACATTGTAAAATCTCTTTTATTATTTCTATACAAAAAAGAAAAGACTCTACATCTAAGTGAAGAGAATAATGATGGATTCATGACACTTGTTCTTCTAAGATATTTACAACAAAAATAATATATAATATGTTAAATTTAACTGTAGATATTACCCGCAGTCTTTTGTTTTTGTCGTTGATACCTCTCAGTTTTTGCATTGGAGTGAATTAATTTTTTTTCAAATTACCGTAAAGTTCTGTTGGCACTGATCTACTTTGGTTCAACAAATATTATCTCTTTTATGTCTAAAACTTAAACATAGGCATAACTTGAGTCATAGTCCAAAGTACGGTACTTTACTCTTACTTTGGAGTGCTCAAGTGTTGATTTTTCTTCTTTTTCATATATTTCTTTGAACATTAGGTATGCATAAATCTTTTCAACAAGACTTTTCATCATTATAGCTTAGTTTATAGCAATTGGCTTAATTAATAACAACGCGCTTTTAACCATGAATTAAGAATTGTATCAGGAAAGAAAGCTTAAAACTTAACGAATTATATAGAAATAAAATTGAAACATAAAAAAAAATTTTTGTAAGTTGTACTCAATATCTTACTAAAGTTATGCTTAAATTTTAAAAATGAAAGAGATAAAATTCGTTGAACAATACCGATAAATTTGTACGAAATTTCAATATAATTTAAAAAATTTGCTTCGAAACGATGGGAATATTAGATAACAACGAAAAGTGAGAAGTACATTTCTCTATGATCCATCTGACATATATAACAATCATCTATGTAAAACTAGCTACTTTCAAACTTCAATAAGTTTAAAATGATAAAAACTACTTAACACTCGATTAAAAAACAATAACTAGTTAAAACAAATATATAATATGAATATTATTTTTTTTTCTTGGTGGAAAATATTCTACAACTATTTTAATACAAATCTTCGAAATAGGTTAAATAAAATACAAAACGCTTTATAATTGTGTAGACAATATATTGGTAGCAGGATACCATGAACTCAGTACATTCACTAAGATAGTGTTGCTGCGAGATCTGTTATACTGATGTGCCATTGAATTTTGTTGTCTTTGATTATATGATTTATACCGGAAAGATATTCTTGAGATATGAATGAAATTCATCTGTGTTATATTAGACATATTGACAAAAATAAATGTAGTTATAGTGTCTTTCATGGTACTATGAATGAATTTCATTAGTTTGATGTATCAAAATAGAGAATCAGTTCAGGAAATCAATAGATTATTGAATTCATTAAAATAAAGATTGAATATAAAATGAAAAGCTAAAAACATGTTGATGAGTAGATAGAATGAATTTCTATACTTGGCTTAATCAGTTGTATTCACATGTTGTTTAATTTTAATAATTTTTTTGTACTAATTTATATTGATTTCAAATATAGAAGTCTGTTAGCGTCTATAAATCCCATAGTTGAGCTATGAAATTCTTGCTTTCAAACAAGACTACTTTTGAATATGAATAACTAAGATGTATCATATGATGAAAAAAACAAAAACAATATGCATTAGAATATTGTTTTGCCTTGTTAAAGTCTTTCTCGAAACCGATTCATACATTATAAATATGATTTTTCTTTATTGTTGTTTGATATTATCGTACATGTCATCAAAATAAAGCGTTTGATACGTAGTTATATTAGTTGTACCATTTATAAATTAACAAATTAACACAACAAACAATTAATCATTATAATTCAATTTATGGCCTTCGCATCCCATTAGAAATCGCGGTTTTTGCCAGAAAACGTTCGATTTTGAAATTTTCATGCGGCTGGATAATTCACAATGTTTAATACGATTTACCGAATATATTATATTTTTTCACAGTTTATTTTCTTAAGTTAAACTTTGTTTCGCGCTTTTCTCAAAGTACATTTTTCTATTTTTTCTTGTCGATCATTTTACATGCCAGACAACTCAGGAAAGATTTTAATTGAAGAGAAAATTATGTTCTACAACTTAATAGAGCCATAAATTTCCATTTTCGACTTTTTGTGAAAAAATTTCGTCAGCAGTAAAGAAACAATATTTTGAAATATTGCGCTCTGCTAAGTTGTAGCGACAAATCTTGTCTACATTGTGAAACCAATCCAACATCTGTATCCTTAGATTCCAGTGAGAAATTCTTGTCATACGGAGACATAGTTTTTGATTCTTGATGTTACGATAGTTTAATATTTTCAACCAGAATTTTTCAGAACATACATTCTTTGAAATTTTCAGCCTGACCTATTGTTTTGGAACAAAAATAGGCTTCTAGCAGGGAATTAAAGCCTTAATATAATGTTACAATCAGTCTAGAATTTTTTTGACCTTTTTCTACTGAGTGTCATCATCATTACAACTAAAAATATTACTTGAAGGTATGATTGTCGGTGTTATTATGATATTGCTATTGTTTAAGTTTTCTTTGAAACTTACCCTAAACAATTTTCTTATTAATTATTAGATGTTATTGTATAGTCTTTACTTATTCCGTATATCAAATACACAGAAATTTTTATTAAATTTATAGTATATGTAATATTGACTGCTCCAAGTTATAAAGAATGTCAATGATTTTTTTTACTAATCTTTGATGAAAATAAACCTGACACTCTAATTGTGTAAAATAAATAATATATATCGAGAAATTCGCAAACTCAATTGGAAAAGTTGTAAATCTTTATACTGATTTCGTCATTCATGGATATTGATAAGGAAAATATTTCAAGTATTTCGGATTCCAGTAGAGTGTATAATTAACTATGAATTGCTTCAATGATAAATGTTAATTTTGCAATACTATTCATTTATATTCGAACTCCGTCTGTTAGTAAAACGGTTCATTGCTTAATTATCCATCTTTCAGATCAGTCAATCATTTGACAGACATAGACAAATAATGAATTGTTCTACTAGTCAGCATAATAGTAGTATCATTCAATTATATTGAAAGACATACATATCTTCTTTGAAGTCATAGAATCTACTAAAATAAAGTACTTTGAATGATTTTTATGAATAATATTCACATAAAACCAAACAAATGCAAAAAGAAAAATTTATAAAACGAGGTAAAACACTTTCGTTTATGAGTATCTCTGAAGAACTTCCGTAAATAACTTTTTGTAGTCAATTAACAAATATTTATCGAATTTCAAAATAGAGTTGGTTATAAAAACTTGTATAAGTCATTTTTCAATTATTTTTACATTCTATATGACAATTATAGATTTTATGCTTTTTTTTTTTATAATAACTCTTCAACATTTGGACAATGAAATGATTTTTATAAAAAGTCCTGTTGTAGTTTTTTTAATATATCTCGCTCTGAACTCTTTGTTTTCAAACATTATTTTATATTCATATAACATTATCGAAGCAAAACCATGACAATATCTAACATTGTGAAATGTGAACCAATGATTCCTATGAGGATTTTCGATTTATAATAATATAAACAAATTAAAAGAAATAAATTTCGTTAAGAACCGAGTAAGAAATGATTAACGACACATCATCTGTGTCAGAGAAAAATAGTTGATCAATATGTTCATTCGAATAATACGATAATAGTCAAAGAAATTAATGAAAAACATCTCCACAATTTGAAAATACGTTATATTTTTTTAACTAATTAGCAGAAATGTCCTAGGGCACCGAAACTTGAGTTGGAGGTGACTATCTTAGGAAACCAATTAGATTTTTGCTAAACTTGCCCGAATTCCAGGAAAGGATTCAACATTTTCTGGGAAATGTGGAGGAAAAAAAATATAATACTAGGATTTCGCTGGAGAAGAGCGAAAACCTTTCAAGACTGGAACCCATCCTCTCTCGGAACACATCATCTGCTAAGTTTCGCGAAAATAAGCGTTCATTACAAGATAACATTGATAAACAGTTGCACAATAACGATATATCTTAAAAAATAAACCAATCAATTAACAACTCAAATCTCAATCAGACAAAAAAAAGTTTTATTATATCTTCCAAGAATGAATGAATAAAATCTTGAATAACAGTACAACATAGTACTTCTTCTGGCCTACCATTTAACGGAAGCAACAATTCAAGCAGAAGTGTATTAAAAGAATTTCGCCGTAGAGCAATATATATATATAAATGGTTCTTGTTTTTTTTCGCTGAAAGTTTTATTAATCTCTGTCAATATCTTTTAAAATTGTATCAAAATAAACAAATCAGAAATTGAATAATTGAAAGAAAAAATTTCATTATTCGATTATAAGTTTTTCAATGAATATTCTTTTTTCTTTTGAAAAATCAAAAAACGAACATATCATCTTCTATCAATTGAATAAATGCAAGAATAAAATAATAAATTTAATTATTGACACAGTTCTTTCGTGTATATTTGTCAACAAGACAGATAGACAAATGGTTTTTTTTCTCATTTTTCAAATACAATACAAAATACACGAAGAACACATGAATGAGACACAAGCAAAAAGAGAGAAAGAGAAAAAAAAAACTACACAACAATCATGTAGACAAACAAAAAAAAAACGTCTATCTAATACCTACAAAACTGAATTTTACTGATATTAAATCAGTCAGGCATCAGCATAGTGATAAACAGAAAGACGCTAAACGTTACACGCAAGAAAGAAAAAAAAGTCAATATATGTGTGTGTGTGTGTGTATATATACATATGTATATAAACACCGACGATAATGAAATGTTTACTCTCTTGATTCTTCATCACCTTCCTCGTCATCATCCTCACCAACATCTTTTGATTCATCATCATCACCACCAGCACCTACATCGCTACCACCTAAAACATATGTATAAATATATATATATTTAATGAATATTCATATATATTTCAATATAAAAAATTTTACCGTCATCACTTCCACTACCTTCACCTTGTTCTTTATAATCTAAATAAAAATGAAAACAAATTTTATTTTCATATATATTTAAATTAACAAACCTTCTTCATCAGAATTTTCTTCATCATCATCGTCATAATCAGCACTTTCATCTAAATCTCCTAAAATAAAAACCGATGTTTTGTATTATATTTTAAATAAAAAAAACAAAAAAAAAAAGATTACCACTAGCAGTAGCATCAGTCGATGTTGCATTTCCATTTCGTTTTGATACACCTTTAACATTACTTGAAGCAGCTCTAGCTTCTACACTATTTGAATCATCATCATTGGTTTCTTCACGTGATTCATCATCATCATTAATTGGTTGTTTATTTCTTGTTGTTGATGTTGCTGCTTTAACTGGTGTTGCCTTTTTTTTTGAACCAGTTGTTGTTGTTGTTTCAACATCTCCATTAGATTCATCATCTTCATCATGTGTTCTCTAATATGAACAAAAAGAAAAAAATAAATATATGTTATTTAAAATATCTAACTAATAAATCGATTTATACCTTTTTGCCTTTAGTTTCAGCTTCTGTCGACATTATTTTAGATCAATAATCTATTCGATAGGAAGAAGAAAAAGAGAAAAAACAAAGGAATGACTAGTAAGAAAAAAAACTACGATGTATGATTATCTTAATAATAAAGATGAAGAATAACAAGAAAATGTGGTTTAGAGGTTCGTTGTGTCGTTCTTTTCGTTCGACTAACGATGGAGTGCGTGTATTGTTTGAGAAAGAACGAAGAAATACGTCAAACAAAGAATCATTTTTCTCTTTTCGTTCCAATGATTTTTATTGGTTAGACGGCATAGTAGACTTTATGTTAGACAGCCTTCGTCATGATTAATATAAAGTTTCTTATTCGAAAATTTTATTTTTAAAGTTAGAAAACAAATTTCGTTTTTTTATTGTCGGACGATTTTTAATATTTTTATAAGAAGAAATCGTTATAGAGGCAAGAAGACAGTCAATAGAAATAGTTGTTTTTTTCTTAATGTAAATATTTTTAATTTTTTTTCAAAAAGAAAAAAGAAAATAAAATAAAAGTAATTGAAATTAAGTACTATAATAAAAAATGAAAAAATTAAATGTAGCGACATCTATATTGAAAAACAAAGCGTGTAATTTATTACGAAAATTTCTAATTCAAATAAGAGAGATGAAAACTAATGAAAATTCTTATTTGAAATATTAAAATAAATAATAATTGGTTTACAGGTTGAAATCAATCTATGGTAGTTTGTAGTTTGATGTCACTCATGTTGTAAGATGATCAAGCTTGATATTTCTAGATAAAATGTATATCTTAGATCGAAATTTCTTCAGAAATAAATGGCGAAATTCAATTTTCATAACTGTCTCTTTGTTGAACAAGTAATGGTATAAATAAAAAGTTTTAGAGAAGACTTGATCGTTTTGTAATCGATTGAGTTGCTCATAGATCCTTTCTAGATGTAGTTTACAACTTGTATTCATTGTATTTTCAAACATTTCTTGTCCAAAATGGAATATATACCTTCGAAGAGAATCGCACAACGTTTGTTCGATTATAGAATAACATCTGTATTGAATAGTTGCTTAAAAATTATTGACAAATAATTTATTTTAACGAGACTTTTTATACTAATCAGTATGATTGAGCCTAACATTGAAGTCTATATAAAGGTCGTTAGCTTTTCTTTAAAAAAGTACTTATTAATTGAATATATTATAAATTATACTGTTTTATTCGTTAAATTCTTTAAGATAAATTTAAAATAAAATCATTTGTCATGTCGATTGAATCAGTTCTTGAGCAACAACGTCGTTATCATGAAGAACGTGAACGATTAATGGATACAATGACAAAAGAAATGTTGCGTAAAAAAGCCACAGTTAGTTAATTTGTTATTTTTAAGCCTTCAGTTTTTTCAAATTTTCTATATTTAGCATCGCGAACAAATTAATTCTGAACATATGGTTAAATTATTACTTGACGTAAGTAAATCATATGAGATGAATTATAATTTAAAATATCATTGTTCTTTTTTCATTGTAAAGCGTTATAGTGAAACATCAAGTCGTGTGAAAGATATGTATGATGATAAAGATGGGTAAAATAAATAATAAATTATTTAATTTTTTTTTGTTTAATAAAAATTCTTTTGTTTTTTTCTTAAATAGATCTCGTAAAGAAGAAATTCAAGCATTATCAGGTCCAAATGAATTTACTGAATTTTATTTACGACTTAAAAATATTCGTCAATATTATCCGAAAAATCCTTCTGAAGAGGTTTGTGTTTTAGAAAAAAAAAAAGTGAAACATATTTAATTTTTATTGTTCAGATTGCTGTTCCTATGTCAACAGAATATGAACAATTCATGAGACAATTACAAGAAACTGAAGATGGTGAACCATTAGGTAAAAAAATATTTAAGATAATATATAATAATTATTGTTTTTTTCTTCATGTATTTATTTAGCATTAGCAAGTTTTACGGATGAAGAAGGTTATGGTCGTTTTCTTGATTTACATCAATGTTATGAAATTTATTTAAATATTAAAGGACTTGAAGTAAGAAAATAAAATTTCTTTTATTTTTAATTTCATAAATAAATGTTTGTAGAAATTAGATTATTTAAGTTATTTACAAAAATTTGATCGTTTACATGAAATTTCAAAAGATCGAAAAAATTTTGAATATCGACAATATTTATTTGAACATTTATTTCCGTATTTATTAGAGTTTCTTAAACGTTGTAAACCGTTAGTTAATATTGAAAAAGATTTAATTAATGTTAAACAAGATTTTGAATTGAAATGGGAACAAGGAATTTTTCCTGGTTGGCCGGTAAATTAAAGAAACATTAATTTTATGATTTTATTATAATATTGTTTGTTTGTTTTTTTTCAGAAAGAAACAGGTGGTGCTTTAGCCAAAGGTGGTGCTTCTTTGGATCTTAGCGGATTTTCATCGTGGGAGGTAACAAAAGTTTCTTTTTTATTATTTCTAACATATATCGCTGAATAAGTATGCACAGAACCTCAAAGCTTGAATTCAATATTGACTACAATTTTCAATTAAATAATAAAAAGAAGTACAAATAGGCTGATAGAAAGTTTTTGAGGGTTAATTATTGTAGGTCTACAATCAGTGAATAAAAACTTGAAGAACTATGAGTATCATGTAAAAAGTCAATGATGTTTAGAAATACTCGAAGTCGAATTTGAGCGAATCTTATGGTCTTTTCATGATTACTCATATGTCTCAAGAAATGTTTTGATAATTACCTAAATATTTATTAACCGGATAGTTCGCGTTAGTGAACTATTCATTTCGAATATTGAACTGGAGTTCGGATTTGGTACAGACTTATTGCTGACTAGTTGAACTTATCATGGTAAATTTATTGATATCATCTTAGAAGATCAATTTACATTCGAACTCCAGTTATTGACAGCTGCTGGTATTAATAGAAAAACATGTTTAATAAATCATTTTAGTTGAATACTGTTTAAATACTCTTTTATTCTATTCGATTTATTAGGAAAATTTGAATCAGTCCTATTGTCTCTTTCAGTAATTTATCAAAGTACATAATAAATTTCACTTCTGAAGTTATTGCCTGTCATTCAAAACTCTTCTCCTTTATTTCAATATTTCTTTCGTATTTCACGAAAACTTGATTAAGTTTATTATGTTTATCGAATAACGTGTGATATAAAAGTAATTTAACAAAATGTTAGTTCATTTTTCTACCTCTTAAAAAAGATTGCAGAAATTCGAAATCAAATTTTATATTACTTTTGAATACAAGTGCAACTTTTTTGCTAGGACTTCTGGTTTAGGAATTATAATTTTACGTTTTAGAGACGTGAAATTGATTTTAATGTTTTGTATTCATAGAAATCGAGAAAATAACAACCTAAATTGACATGGTGTAGCTAACCAAAATACTCACTGTTGACAAATGATTTGTAGTAAACTCATCAGAAGTTATACAGTTTAATAGGGAAATGTTTGCTCTTTTATTTGAAATTTTGAACGGGACACTAATTAGGATATTCTGTTCACTAATTTTAGATGATAATAATCGTATGTAAAATTTGATTGAATTTATTTTTAGGAATTAGCATCTGTTGGTCTTGATCGTTTAAAATCTGCATTATTAGCACTTGGAATGAAATGTGGAGGGTAAATATAAATTGTCTTTGTTAATTATTTCATATATATATAAATACATATATGATTTTTATAGAACATTAGAAGAACGTGCTAAACGTTTATTTGCAACAAAAGATAAATCATTTGAAGATCTTGATCCATCATTATTTATGAAAGATGCAAATAAAACAAAACGTGAAAAGTTCGTATTTCTCGTATTTGTTTTTTTTTTTGCTTTAACACAATAATATATTTTTTAGTAAAGAACTAGTTCGACATAAAGAAATAGCTGGAATGGAAGCACAAATCTATCGTCTTGTTGACTTATTAAGTGAACAACGTTCAGCAACATTAGAAAATGTTCGTCGTAAACAAGCAAGAGCTGGTGAAGATAATGAAGATGATGAAGATATGGGTGGTGGTGATATATCAGATGATGATTCAGGTCCAGAAGAAGATGGACTTATTTATAATCCAAAAAATTTACCACTTGGATGGGATGGAAAAGTAAGTTTTAAATCAATTTAATAAGAAAACAATAATTTTCTTTTTATTAGCCAATTCCTTATTGGCTTTATAAATTACATGGTCTTAATATGTATTTCAATTGTGAAATATGTGGAAATCATACATATCGTGGACCTAAAGCATTTCAACGACATTTTGCTGTAAGTTGTTCTTATTTTTGTTTTTTTTTTCTTTCTAATAGATTAATTAATGTAATAAATTTAGGAATGGCGTCATGCACATGGAATGCGCTGTTTAGGTATTCCAAATACAGCTCATTTTGCGAATATAACATCAATTGAAGATGCTTTATCATTATGGAATAAATTAAAAAATAATAAAGATGATGAACGATGGAAACCAGAAATGGAGGTATGATTTGATTTATTTCAATATTTTTAAAATTTAAATCGTGTAATTTTTATGTTTTCAGGAAGAATTTGAAGATTCACTGGGAAATGTTGTTAATAAACGAACATATGATGATCTTCGGAAACAAGGTCTTTTATAATCAGAAGAAAATAAATAAAAACGTTCATGTTTGTTTTTTTTTGTTATTGTGTATATTTAAAATAAGGAAATATAAAAGTTTATTTGTTGTGTGTCAATGCTGCGTTTTCACTCTATCTTTCAATAAAGAAAGATATTAAATATTGCAAAGAAATTTCTATCAATTGAACCTAATCTACGTGTGAAAAAAACGTTTGTGCACAACATGCTTGAGCAATTTTCGTTCATTTATTAATCACTGAAGAGGATCAAAAGCGATCAATTAGAACCGAAATTCAACGCTTTTTCTAAATGTTTGTTCAAAATCTTTTACTGACTTAATTTTGGTTGATTATGGTCAAATATTATAAATAAATCAAAAAAATGTTATTTTCACTAACGAGTAAGAAGACCCCGAAATGATTCACGCCGTTTTCGCCGATATTTTGCATGTATATGGAAAACCTGATTCTAAGAAAAAATCTAACAGAATGCGAACTGATGTGGATCTTTTTTCAATATATAGGGATATATTTATTCTTTCACAAAGAGAGAAAATTCAACAAAAAAAAACGTCTCTAATGTCTCACAAGATACAACTCTATATCATGAACAAATGTAGATATGAATGGAACTAAGAAAGTCCTAAAACAATATATACCCGTAGCCTTCTCGACATAGATTAAAGGGAGAAACGACACCCTCCCGTATTTCTCGGAGTATAAGAAGTACGAGAGTACAATTGGAGTATACGGAGTACAAGATCCCGGAGTGCGATGGAAGTACTATTTTATAACTAAGAAAAGTCTGGACCTGAATCCAAGAATATCACGACATATTCTCGTACATCACGTACTCCAATTGTGGGTGTGAATGTAGCTAGGTGAGAGTGAATAGAACACGCACATCCGAACCCCACATCCACCCATACACTAAAAGGACCAGAAACTGAAAACTAACCGAACTGAACTCGAACCAGTAAAATTCGATTCAATTTGGTCTTTGAAAAGAACTAACGGGTAAAAAATATGAAAGTTATAGTAGCTTGAAAAGCATAAAAGTAAAACGGGATAAATTTAATTTCTCGCAAGCATTGTATCCCAAGAGAAAATCAAGCTACTATTTCATACGTAATGATATGAGAGCTAATAGTTTCTCTTTTCATTAAATGTTTTCGCTAAGGCTTTTTTTTTATTTCTGAATAGGTAGCACAATTTTGTTTAGTCGATGATTTTACAATTTATTCTTATTCAAAGATTACAAAACATTTTGTCAATGTATATTATTTATTTATTAGATTGTAAATGTCATTTAGAATAATGATTATGTGTTTATTTGTTTTGATCGAAATCATGGGTACATTCTTGACCAGGTGCTTTAGTACCAAATTTAGCTTGTGTTGTTACATTGGTTTTTGTTACTATTTCACTACCTAAATGTTGAAGTTTTTCATCAGTAGAAATTCTATATATTTGAGACATAATAGAATCGATTTTTTCTTCTGAATAATGTTGTTCTTCTTGGACAATTTTTGCTTTAATAATATTAGCTTGTTCATTAACTCTAATTAATTTGAATTGTGATTTTTCTATAATTTGATCTCGACATGTTTGTAATCGTTTTTGTAAAGTAGTTAGTTCTTTTGCTTTCATTTCATCTAGTTTAGTAATATATTCTTGTAGTAATTTTTGATAATTATCATCTTGTTGCATTTCTTGTTGTTTAGCAAATCCTAATAAACGTTGTTGTTCTTGTTGAGTTTCATTACGAATACGTGAAAGTAACAATTCAGTTTCATTTGATATTTTTTCTGTTCGAATTTTAATTTTTTCATCTAATTGTGTATGAACTTGATTTAAAGTAATCATAAGTTCATCAACTTTTTCAGATGAAGATATATTAATACAAGAATGTGTTTGAGTATCTACTGTTGATTCAATATGAGATGAACCAAACGTAGCAGAAGCTTTTTTACTTCCTTTAGTATTGAATGATTCTTTTTGATTATAATCAATTTTAGTTACATTGGATTTTAATGATTGGTGAAATGTTGATGTTAACTATAAAATATAAACAATTAAATCAAGATAGAAAACACAAACGAATGATGAACATTTTACTACAAATTGAAAAATTTTCATTTTTCTATATTTAAACTTATGAGAGAACGTTGTCAACTGATCAATCACTTTCTCATCAGAGCTTACATTGAATTATGAGTTATCGAGCAAGTTGGTTCCGAATATGATCATAAGAAATTTTCTTTGAGCTTTATATGTTGATTTTCCCGATTCACTAATATTTTATCAAATTTGTTTTCGATCTACTCACGTTCAAGGACATATCGAGTTGTCTAAAAGTTGATAACCTTTTCTGTATTTCAAAAGAAAAAGAAGTTTCAAGTAAAATAGTATCATATTGAAGATTTTCAGACTGAAATGTAGATATGTACATATTGTGTGAGTTACAATGGCTGTGTTTTCCTCAAAAAGAGACGATTTGAAACAGAAGAAAGTTACTGGTTTCTAGACTATTTGATATGCTCTATGATTTGAATAGATCAAAAGAAAATTTTAGTCAAAAGTTTGTTTGGCTAGCAAACCAGCATATGAAGACCTATGAAACGTTCTCATGGTCATATTTAGGGGTGGCATTTTATCTTTATTTTACTTTGAAAAAGTAAAGTAAAGTACAAAAATACTTTAGTTTATCCGGTAAAATAATGATAAAGTGCCACCCCTAGTCATATTCGAAATCGTCATGATCAATAACCTACAACTTCTAGCTTTCGGTGAGAAAGCGATTAATCAGTTCAAAGTTTACCTTCATTAATATTAAGCTTATACAGGAACTGCCTCTAGATGTTATTTTTCGATTTCAATGATTTTTTTTTCGCCTATAGATACTAAATAATATTCTAGTAAAAATCTTCAAAAGGTTTAGAATTCAATCGAGAATTGGTGAAGCTATTGTATTTTTAATATGACTATTTAATTATTAATCAATAATAATAAACTATGCATATATAGGAAAAACTCTCATAGTAGACACTTTCAAAAGGTCTTCATGGTATCTACGACAAGAAAATTTGACTATATTTTAACAACTGTTTATATTTCAAGAAGAAAAATGCATGAAAATAGTAGTAACTAAATATTTTATCCCTGAATATTCTTCGTATATCTAGAAAACTCGGTCTTTCCTTGTAAAAGTTTGGCTTTTAGAAAAGACTTAACCATCTTATAGCGGACATCTTTCTACAGTACACACTTTTAAAAGTTCAAACAGTATATCTACTAAAGAGAAGTTATATTGTACTTAAATCAAATTGCATTTGCTTTTTAATTGATATCTACATTTTGATTCAGTCGTGATAAATAAAAATGCATGTTTGAATTTAGGAAAAACAAAAACAAAGAATTTCTATTAGAATTACTTCTATCTAATAAATATTGCTTTTTTTTTCAATCAACACATTGAAGAATATTCAAAATAAGAATAGTAAATCTAGAAATAAGTCAAATAATATATCACCTTAGCATCATCATCCCATATTGTTGAATATTCTTCGATGTTGTCTTCTACTTCGAATATATCATCTTGTGTAATTGTTTGTTGCTTAGGTGGTTTTGGTGAAACACGTGTAAATAATGGAGTGCGTGGTTTTGCTGATGATATTGATAAAGATCGTTCTGGTGGAGGTTTTCCATATATTATTGGCGGCATTTGACTACTTTTATCGAATTTCCTTACTTTCCTAACGCTTGAACCTAAACCCATGAATTAATACTACAGTTATAAAAACTCTCGAATAAATTAAAGAATAAGAATAATGTTTAATCTAAAGAAAACTTGAGTTTCAATGAACAATGCATTTAATTTTCGACTGTATCTATATTGGAAAATAAGTTAAATGTATTTGCATTAACCTATCATAAACAGATAATAAACTATTGAAAATAGAAGAAACAAATCAACAGAATCAGATATGTATAAAGGAAGAAAAAACTTTCAAAGTTTTCCCTTCTCTTTTCAAAATATAATTTTATTCATCGTTAGTTCACTGTTGAAAATATATTATACCATTAAAGCGTTAAATTTTGAAATGGGAATATAAGTAGAACAATTTTGCCAATTAACGGAAAGTAGAAATTCCACAAAAAAAAAACATTTTTCCGATTAGTTATAATAATATTTTCTTTTCTCTTGAACCTTGACAACATTCATTTCATAAATACACAAAGTAAAACATTCCGTAAATGAAATACCGTTGCGATATTTAAAAAGTATTCATTCATGGAAACTATCATATATATTTTACTCAGAAATGAAGAAAAGTTTTTACAATAAAAGCTATTTCATTAATTTTTGAAGTAATCAAAGATCATTTTCTGTATTGTTTATCGTCTTTCATTTGGGTAGTTATGAATTCTCAAGCGTTTCAATTGAATAGAAATCTTTGTTTTGTTTCACAAAATTGTATCTTATTGTTTTAGTCTTGATATATGTAAGTTTGATAAACATTGCTAAACAATTTATCGAAATATATACTTATTAATAAGTTTTACTACATCAAAACTGTTGAATTTTTGTTTAATATTTTGATTTTAATCCTTTTTTTTTTTTGATAATCATCTAAATATTTTTTTAAAGAAAACAAATTAATTGCTCAGTAGTATGTGAAAATTATCAGAAAATAAATCAAACTATTAATAGAAAATTTAGTATTTGGTAACTATTATGTTTTCCTCTATTAATTAATTGTTCACTTGGTAAGTTAATAATTTGTGAGTGGATTTGAATATTGTTTTCGAGGAAAGGCCGATACCTACATTCGTTATTATAATTATCTATGTAAAAAAAGAATTAGGCAAAAACCAACTTTTTCGTACTTTGAAAAGGTTTTTTAAAGAGGAGAAAATACTTATAAATGAACCTTTTCAAATACTTTTGAAAGTAGAAAAAGTATGAGAAAGTACTATGAAAAGTGAAAAGTAGTAAGAAAAGTTACTTTATTTGACTTTATTAATATTTAAAGTACTTAAAAGTGATTTTTGTTCACTTTTTTTGTTTTCAATGGGTTGTTCATTGAATTTTTTGCCTTAGTACAAGATGTTGTTTTGATGTCATTGCTTTTTTTCATATGTACAATTATAACAAACTATGAAGAGTAGTTTTAGTTGATTAGTTAAAAATGATGAAGAGAAGAGAGAGAAAAAGAAGTGCATGTGTTTGTTCATTTAAAAGCGATTTAAATAGCAATTGTGATAGTGAAAAAAAAAATATTCTCGTTCAGAGTAAACAGACATTCATCTATAAAAGATTTATTTTCAATAAAAATTACTACATAATTATCAAGAGCGTGTTCAATAAAGTTTTTTAATGTATAAAATCGGGAATTTTCGGCTTTATACGATCATTTTCAATTTAATCACGTTGACAAGAAAAAACTAGACAGCAAACAAGAAAACTTTTTCTATTAGCATGACTCTAAAGACTATAATATGCATTAATCTTATTATGTAATCAATGAATAACACTCATTAATTTTCTAAAATAAATTTTCACAGCAATAAAACATTATTATTGTAAGATACAACGTACATATTTTCATTTATTATTTATCGTTTAATTTTATTTTAAATCTCAGGATTCAAATTATTTAATACACGTGATCTTAATGATACGTTATGCATTTTATATTAGGTTTTTTTTTTGATAAAAATCTTATTCAAGATGGAAAATGTTTATTAATACAAGTTTCACTGTATAATACATTATAATTAGTTAGTATGTTTGCATTGCATTTTTGTGTGAATCTATCAAATTATTGAAGTACTTTTATTAACGATATAGTCTATCGATTGACGCACTGTTTATTTCTAAGTGTTTTCGAATTCTTTTAACCGATCAAAGAATAAATGTATATGTATGTAAAGAGAAAACAATTTTAACTTTTGAAGTTTTAAATATGTCGGAGTTGACTTTAAATTTCTGCTGCCTTTAAAAAGCAACTAATTGACCTTGAAAGCTAAAGTAGTAAATATTTATTTATACAATGAACACAAGGATGTGGGTAGAATGTGAGTATTGATGTTAGTATACACTCATATGCACATCCTTATTGCCATCTGACACTTAACGACTTTAGATAAGCATCTATCTTCGAATAGACTGTTTTCTTCATTATTAAAGGTTATAATAATACGATAATTATTAAGAAATTGTTTGTTAAATCCTTATTGAAAAATTTCCGCTAATTAAAAAAAACAACGTTTATTATTGATTATTTCATAAACAATTTAAGTTGCTACATTTTAAAGTCAACTCCGACAAATATATTTAGAAGTAGTGTTTTCCATACTTTTGGACTTTAGTGTTGACATAATCAAGGTAATACTTGCATTATAGAGGAATGTTTTATATATAAATAGTTTCTAAGGAATATTTAGTAATAAATAAAAACCTGGTGTGAGGCAAAATTAAATAGTTACAAAAGAATAAAGGTATTCATACATTTTTAATTTAATATGAACAACTAATTAGACTGTTTTTATTATAAATCATTGAATGTCTTTATTCTGTATAACTCATCAGTAATAAAACCATAGTTTAGTTTTGTTTTTCAAGGATAATATATACGTTAATTTTATTAAAAAATGATCGGAAAAGTTCGTCTTGATCTTATCGATAATTTTATAATAGAATAGTTCATTAGATACGACATCAAATAGAGATTATTAATTTGAAATTTACTAAAGAAAAAGAAACATTTCTAAAAAAGTGACTAATATTCTTTTATTCTTGAAATCTTATTATAAAAATAATTCTAAATTATTGATTGTATTAGTAAAAAAAAATGAACAAGTCTGGCGCATGAATTTCTTCTTGTTTTTTTTTTTTTTCTTCAAAAAACTTTGAACTTATTTTTTTTCTATTATTTCGATCATCGAAATAATTTTTCTTTAATCGATAATGTATTTTTTTATTGTATAATTTAAAATGTCTTCTCGACGCTCATCACCATTAATGCTTGTGCGTCCATTTCGTGTTCGTTTATCAATTTTAGATCTTCGAACATCTCAATCATCAAATACAAATGAAACATCAACTATGACTCCACTATCACCATCATCACAACGTCGTTTAAATACTAATAATCCTCTTACACTTAAATTAAATGAATTTCTTATTGAACAAAATAAATATACAACTATTAAAAATGATTCAATGGCAATATCAGACCGAGATACACATGATCGAGAGATAATTCAACGATTTCTTCATTCAAATAATGAAATAGAAGCAAGAAAAATTTTAGCACAAATGTGGAAAGAATCACGTTTTTGTGATTTAATGCTTGTTGTCGATGGAAGTGAATATTTAGCACATCGAATTGTTCTTGGTAGGATTTATTTTAATAAGAAAATATTGTTTGTTTTTTTGTTTCTTATATTATCAAATATTTATTTCAGCGGCATTTAGTCCGAAGTATCGGTAAGAGAAATTTATATAATTATCATTTATGAGGAAAGTTCTCCAAATGATAAATCGCTTTTTAGTTAAGACTGTATGCATTATTGTAGATCCAAATGAGCTAAGAATACCATGAAAAGAGTTCGTGCCATTATAATTTATTTTAAAAAATGCCAAATAAATCAAAATTTTAACAATTTTTATGGTTAATACAAACGCTCTGAAATATTATTATTTCAAAAATGTTTGTATTTCGAATTTCTATGCTACTAATTTATTAGATCGTTATACTAAAAAAAAAATTACTTGTATTATCCGATACATCTTCAATATACAACTTCTTTTCTTCTAATGATAACACATACGATAAATGCCATAGAAAATGGCAATTATTTATTTTGTTCTTTGCTTTGTTGGTTCAACCGCCATATTAGCCTGCTATGCACATACGTAGTACTCAATTGGTTGATACTTTTCTATATCCGTTCTTATCTGACTCAACTAGATCAAGAATTCCACCAACCTACTCATTGACACCTACAATAAGATCCTTTTCAGAGAATTCTAGAAAGTTCCAGAATATCTAATCTTTGTTATTACTGACGTACCTTTTTCCATTACTCTTGAAACATATTCGATGATTTTTAGTTTTTTTTCTCCCACTCTGGATCGCTATGGCCTAAGGGTGGCGGAGCCTGAAAAACCTCGATTTAAACTTACATTCACAATTTTCTTGGAAAATACATCTGATTTTTCTCCCCTCCCACCCAAAAAATGTAGTATCTTCGCAGTAATAAGCTAAGGGCACGAACTCTTTTCAGGGTACTCATAGACTTGACTCAAAAGCCGTTTATCAACTGGAAAACTTGTCTTGTTAATTTTTGTTTTTCTTTATTCAGTGCATTTTTTCGTGAACGTTGTACTGATTTTGTTACACGTACTCATCTTCGACATACATCACATAAAGGTCTTCAACTTGTTTTAAATTTTTTATATACCGGTATTGATTTTATGAGAGAAAAAAAAACTCATATATAAATATATATTTTTCAGGTGAATTAACTTTAACATTTCGTAATGTAAATGATATTTTAAATTGTGCAAAAGAACTTGATATTGGAAAAATTTTTGAAATATGTGAAGAATTTTTATCAACATTTGAAAAACGTCATGTATTTCGTGTACTTGAATTATCAAGACGTTATGGAATGAAAAAATCTTTTTATGAATCACATTATTATTTATCAAAAAATTTTAATCAATGTATTAATATGAAAAATTTTCTTCAATTACCATATACAACTATTTCAAATATATTAGCTGATGAAACAATACAAAATCGTGATGAAACAATTGTTTTAAGTCGAATTTTAAATTGGATTACATCAAATCATGTAGAAAATAGTCAAATTATTATGCATTTATTTAAAAGAATTCGATGGAATAAATTAGATTATGAACAACAACGAGAATGGTTAACTGCAAGTCATGAATTAGCTGAAAATTCAAAATTAACTTCATTGATTAAAGAACAAATGACGTGAGTTCAATAAATTTATATTTTAATTATCAATATTTGTTTTTAAATAAAATAATATTATCTAATAGTGAAAGATTAATTGAATCATCATTTTATTAGATATTATTGAATATCGTTTATGAAGTCTGAACTCAACAATTTATTTTTATTTTTCATCACTTAATCTTCATAAAATTTTCAAAGAATGATGTATCTTAGACTATGCATTTCAAAGTGAAAGTTTCATCTCGAATTATTGAGTCCACTAAGAATTAGCTTAAGGAAGCCTCTTGTCTTTCCGGGCATAAAAATCAAATTTTTTTCGATTTTTCGTTGTTAATAGAGTCTCGATATATCCTCTGTAAAATATCAAATAAAAGAGAGGTTTTCGTTGTTATTTAGATCAAACTTTCAAAATCCCTACAAAAAAAAACTCTTGCTAAGATTTTTCTATTCTGTGCGGAATTCCTGTAATAATAATGACTATTTCTCATTCTAAATGTGCTTAGAGCATTAGTAATCGACCCCTAACGCTACTGAATGCGACTAGTACTCCATCGGTCTAGTTAGAAAAAAAGTCCCAATAGATACGAAAAAATTTATTTTGTTTTTCTCGAAATCGGTTTTTACACAAGTTTCTTCAGTACAATATTTCCGGTCGAGCTGAAAATTTTTATCGATACTAGGTACTGTTTGGGATACTCAGTGTATAATAGAAAAATAATGATACTTGATTTTGAATCAACTTCTAGATCGAAATACTTTTCATTTAGATGTATATATTTTGTCTTTTGCATGGAAATTTACTAAAACAGTAGATAACGGTTTGGCTAACAGATCATCGATACGAACGATGTTGACACTGTTTTTATTCCATCGAGCACTACTTAAAGGAAAAATATCAGCTTAAAAGTGAGGAAACAATTCGAATATGTTCCTTGCTCTTTAAATAAAATTGATATCAATTCTTTTTTTCTTGCATTCGAGTACACAGTAGAAACTAGACAATTTCATTATATTCTGATAGATAAGAAGCTCGACAATAAATCTCTTTTTTTTTATGAGTTTCAAATTCTCAATATGTTATTGCTCATTATGATAATTGAATTTTCTATTTGAAAAATGAAATTAACTTAACATATTTTAGTCTTGCTTATGAAAAATCCAACCGTCGTTCAACTTCAGCATCAAAACCAATTGAACAAAAGTTAAACCTAAATAGTTCTGGTAGTCGTCAAACAAATCGAAATAGACATCATTCTTAATTTAAATTCAACATATAAAATGAATCATCTTCTTTATTCAGTTTCTTTTCTTATTTTCTTTTTCAAAAATACGAAATATATTACTTATATCTCTATCTGCATCACTTCTCTCACCAAACAAAAAATAAGAGACTATCTGTGTATAAGTTTTGACATGGAAAAAAAATAAATCTAAACACAAAAAAATAGAAATCAACAATGAAATGAATACATGCTTAATCATCTGAAAAATAAATAGTACCAAATAGATTAACGAAAGATCATAACTGACAAAAAAAATGAGATTTAAATAAAATCTTCAATAGAAGAATTTGATTGTATATCATTGGAATTATTTGGTAATAATGGTGAATGTGATCTTGATGTAACAAGTTTATCATCGCTATTATTGAGTAAATCTTTTTTACGTAATACACGTAAACGTTCATTCTCTCGTTGTAAAACATCACTTCGTGTACGTTCATTGTCTAATTTATCACTTATAATACGAAGCTACAATAAACAAATAAAATAGTCGAAAACTTGATAAAGATGAGCGAACAATCGAAAATTGAGGATCAAGCTTGTCATGCAAATTAGTGTTTTCGATATTTTTTGAGGCGGGGGAAGTTAAAAATTTGGTAAAAAGTGCTTTCATTCTTGGAGTGTTAAAAGTAGTAACTGAGAGGGAGAAGAAGGAGAACTAAACCCACCGTGATCCGGTCCTTTCCACAATAGACGACCTATCAATTCGATTCATCTTTCAACTTCATTGTCTACTTATTTTTATTTCAGTTTCTGCCAGAGAAAGACCAGTGATGCTTCAAAATCCGGTGTCTATCCAAAATTTGCCATGAAACTATAAAAACAATTGGTAGAAAATCTGATATTATGTGGAGAAAAGTTCCATCCCTAATCGAAAACTCTGATGCAAATGGATTCGACTTGATAAAAATAGTCCAAGACAGAGTAAACGTCAAGTTTCGTCTTATGTATCATTCTCTTGTGTATCTATCTGTTAAAACTTATCTTTGTTGTAAAAAGAATATAATTTAAATAATATTTGCAAATAGAAACAATTTTTTCTTTCTCTTACATAATTAAGAACAGCAACAATTCTATGATGTTTAGTTATTTGTTATGTATTTAGAAATGAAGAAAGAGAAAATTTACCTCTCGTTGTAATCGTCTTCGTTCTTGTTTCAATTCGTCTTCAACACATTCTGCATCATCTAATTGTTGTTTATATCGTGTAAGTTGAGCTTCATAACGTATATTCTAATTAAAAAGAAAAATTATTCAAAATAAAAATAAAAAAGTGAAAGACAATATAGATTAAACACCGTTTCGAATAAAAAAAGAATTCATCAATGAAGCACAATTTATATGAATTAGATCAGGCATTTCATATTGGTTCAAAATATATTACTCATACAAAAATCTCTATTAAACAATGATCAAATTGTCGCAATGCATGCGTTACAAGAGGTTGTATTTCCTTGAATGGGCTTATTAAGAAACCGTCAGAAGTAATTCAAAGCCTTTAATTTCATATTTTATACATATATAGGGAACTAGTAGATCAAAAAAAAAACCTGAAAATAAATAATTTCATGTTGTAATTTAGCTGAGACATGGAGGTTTTACTAGAATATCATTAGAATGAAAAACAATTATTTTATTCATTTCAACTTCCAAGAATTCTTTTTCAAGGTACCGTACAAACTTCTGAAACCATTTTTAAAGCTTTTTAAACTTCCATAGAATCTTTAAAACTTGATATCAACTCAAATTCACTTAAAAGGAATTAGTTTTTTTTTATAAGGTTTTTTCCAAAACATAGCATTAACTCTTTATAACATTTTCTACAGTACATTAGCTTGAACTTTCATATCTTTATTTCAAATAGGTTTTTTTTTCTGTAAACATTTGTTGCTTAGTCGTCACCTGATAGTATTTTCTATTGGATGTACCAGATATAAAGGTGTAAACGGTGGTCACAACCACGTGTGATCATGACTGGAATGAAAATCGAAGGTTTATTTACAATCTTCACACTCTCTATCAAAAATTTGCGATTTATTGGTAAAGTGAAAGCTGGGTAGTTATACCTGAAGACACTTTCGTCCTAAAACCGATCTTTTTAAAGGCAAAATTTAATAAAAATACGCAAATAGAAGTAGAAAGAAAATTCGTTGAGACAGTAAATGCTCAATAGACTTTTACTAACCGTTAGAGGGTGTAGACGAGGATGCCGGTGAATGAGCCTTCTCTTCACCCATATCATCTCTCAAATCATGCATGGAAGAATAAATTATTCAGTTTGGAGATACTAACATGATTAAATTTATTGTTCCAGTTATTATTATTGTGCATCCTCCGTTCTAAAAAATTAAGATAGAACCTGTCAGACAACCATTTGTCATAGTGCGCAACTGTCCTAGATTCAATGAAGTATAACCAATTTCAATAATATCAGTGATTAAGAAAAAGTTTTCAAAAGTTCTATTAGTATGGCCTTAACGATACCCTCAAATGCTGCCTTCTATGATATTATTATTGATTTCACAATTGAACCAAATGACGCTTATTTTCGCCTCTGTGTCTCCGGGATACTACATTTGATCGAGTTCAAAATTTTTTTACATATACTAGGCGCTAGTTAGAGTGGATACTGTTGTTTTAGTTTTTCTGTATTGTTTATCTTTTCAATAGAAAAGTCAGCATACTGGACGTCTCCTAAAAAACTTTTGTTCTTTTCTACAAGGACAAAGTTTGTGAAAGCTATCGAAAATCACTATACCAATAGTTTTTGAAATAAAAAATAAACACGCCAAATAGTGACTACTATATGCGAAAAACGTTTCAGTTCGATATTTATTAGGATGTCGAGTAACGAAGGGCGAAACAGTTTCTTTGTTGTGTAAAATTTGATTTTGAGAAAAACATAAAATAAAATTGAATGTTGATTTTTTTTTTCTTTCTGCTCAAGGTTTTTGTAGGCTTTTGATTATTGCACATTCGATGAGATAGTTGTTTACGTTCAAAGAGTACCTTCTTTTTTATGTTTGCGAGATGCCGCTAATCAGACATATATAAATAATATACTTCTTGCTAGCTATATCGCACTTTTATTACTAATGAANCATTACTTCGAACTACATTAGAATATACAACAAGTATTGGTGGTATGTTTACATTACGTCAGTATAAATTATTTGATTATCCACCTTTCTATAAATCTGCTGAAATGATATTTCAACCACCTGCAGCAATCTTCACTAAACGTGTTATTGATCAACTTGATCCAGATAATACATTTATTAAATTAGTATTTGCAATACTTACTTTCTCGACAATCAATTATACTATATATAGGAAGAACGTTCATACTAATTTCATAAATATCACACAAACCTTACTTGTACAAGATATGTATACTGATGTAACATGGCGATATCTTCTATACAAGTATGGTTATCATCAAGCTGTGATACGTTTTTCAAATCTTTTAAGATGTCTTTTTACTGTAACTGCAGCCGTTGTTGAAGCACATGAATCAGAAAAATTTACAGAAATGATCGATTCCGTTATTGAACAAACTGAACAAACACTTTGTTTGTAGTCAAAAGTACATTTTTTTTTCGTGCCTATATTGACGACTAGGCGAAACAAGATATCATTTTTAGACGAACATTGAGGAGATATTATTTAGTTATTAATAAAGGCGTTAACTTCATTATTATGGAAGGTCGAATAGTGTTATGCGATTAATAAATGTTTTTTGTTTTTATCTACGTGTTTTATTTTTTTTGTCGATAGTATCACTCAAAACTTATATTAATATATTTACATATAAATCTGAATCGTCTATGTACAAATAACTTTGCAAGAGATTTTTCGAGTAAAAGCGCCTCTACCAGAATTCAACGAGATATGTAGTATAAAAAGAAACATCTAATAACAAATGAATTAATTTATTGTATTATGATGTATGAGAAAAGTATTTAACCAACAATTTTAATAATAATATAGATGATAAAATTAATAAAGTTTCGAACTTCTTGATAAAATCGAGTAGTTTGCTCATTATTGATCTCCAAAGTCACTCATGTACTCTATGTTTATTTTAATTGATCTTCAGTTCGCGTTCACACGTCATTTTTACACATTTTGGTACAAATAGTTCCAATAAAATTTTATTTATAATAATTAGCAATTCTACCAACAAACTAAACATGCGAATTCCTGATATTTTCATTCAGCACAGAAAACAAATAAAAAATATAAGAGAACAAAGCGTTTAGATGAACAAAGTGAAATCATTCAAAGAAATCTTTCGGTTTTATCATTAAAATAACATTCACAACACTCAAGAAAAATATTCCGGAGTTTTATAACGAGTAGAAGACGAAAAAGCGTTTTCTTCTGTTTCCAAGAAAGAGTGAGAAAATTCATTTTTGACATTGATAGAAACATAAAGTACTGTGATATTTAGATGGGCCAGCTACTTCCTTTCGAAATTCACAAAACAAGAGAACTGTAAATTCCTGTTCACTAGAAATAACAGCTGCAAAAATATAGTTAACTCAACTATTTTATTTCTTGACTCTATCGGACAGTTTTTCTTTTTTCGGCTTCTGACAGCTATTATTGGAAAACAATTGCCGTCAATATATTTGCATTCTTCTGCAAATTTACTGGAAATTGTTGCTATGTTTGAAACAAAAACTGTTCATAGGTTTAGTCGAATATATTTTTGAAATATACAAAACTCTTAAATTTCGATAAATATTTCGACAGTTTTGTCTAAATTTAGAAAGTGTTACGAAATCTGACAATTTTCCATCTAATGGATTAAAAAGCTACAAAATTTTCAAGCATTGGATTACACCCTAAAAAAACCAACATTTAGCTATAGTGAAAGAAAATATCGAATTTATATTCCAATTCTGCTTACTTCGAAGCATTTCTAACAATACACATTTTTTCTCAAGTACTAGATATAGAGTGAATAACTTTTCCTTGCAGTAACCAATACAAACACGATCTGAATTCATCTATAATACATGTAGTTACAAGATATAAATGGTGTTTGGTGCAGTCCATCGTCCGATAGTATAAAATACTATTTTCTATCATCTTTATTATCAACGAAAATGAATCATAGAACATAAAAATTGAATAATGGTATTATTCTTGTTTTTACTGTGAGAAATCTTTAATATAAATTTTTTTTTCAATTTTTATCTCTAACGCATGTTTCATTATTAGAAATGCTAAATCAGTGAAATAACTTTTCATTCATTAGTTTTCTAATATATATAATTACATATTAAATTTCATTTTAGAAACAATTCTTCTACGCACAACTTCTGCTATTACCATTGTTATGAGAACCATCATTGGGTTTATAATTTGGTTTATATCATTAGAAAATTCCTAAACATATGAATACAAAACTTTCAAATATGATCTACAAAAGGTACACAGTGATTTAAACTCAATGCCAGTGTATTCCTGATGCCACCAGTAAATACGGAATCTTATATTCAGAGATACAATTCTTAGCACGATTTACTCAACTATTTTACACATTCTCTTACAATTTGATAATGTTAGATATAACTGAGGTAAACAAAACTATTATGTTGCTTCGCTCTCTCATCATAGTAGAGATTTTCTAATCATTTACATGTCATGATGAAATTCTTCTCGTTATTTCAGACTTGAGAAGATCCATCCATGTTGTATCTATCTTGTAATATTTGTCTTCACGCATTATCTGTTTTTTTTTTCGAAATTCTATTGTGATAACATACTATACAATTTTTGCTTTGGAAAAACGAGGAAAAGATTTCAGAAGGTAATCAAACTCAATAATTTAAATCGGATATAGAGTTTTGTCTTAAATAGAAGCAAATAGTTCTGTAGGATTATCGCGTAATAAAATATAAAATATTTTCTTTCAAATAATATTTCTATGAGAGCAAAAGAGATCAATTCTAGTCAATAACATATTCTTTTACTCATTCATTTATAATGAAAACAAAAATTTATCATCTTTCTTCATGATTAGGTTGAGAGAAATACAATACATGACAAATCTCAAGTTCTTTCTCTATTCCGACAATAATTAATATAAATAAAATCGCTAATAAACACATTATCAATTCTGTAACATAATTGTATTTATCAGTATCTTTTTTTTCTTGTTATCAGTAATTTAGATAACATATTTTTATATTTCATCTTGAATGATTATTGTTTACATTTGTCTAAAAAATCACTTATTTCGTTTTAGTTCAATTCAATTTCACTCTCGCTTCGATTTTAACAATACTTTTCTTCAATGAAGTGATGATCGTATCGTCTTTATCATAGAAACTACAAGAATGATTATGAAAAATACTATAAAACAACTACGTTGTCATTTCATTGAAATTAGCTAATGTGGAAGAACTAATTCATAATATTCTAAATCAAAAACAAAAAACTTAGATCTGAAATTAAGTGTTATTTTCGTAATCATCATCGTGTAAACGAGCAATTCATCAACTTGTTTTCTTTCATCGATAAAATATAATTAGTATTAATATTAATAACAATAAATGATTGTCACGATTAGAAATATAAAAGAAAAGATTTTTCATTGCAGCTTTTTAGATATTTTCCAAAAGTAAATTAGTTGCAAAAACATCATGTCAATGTCGTATAATTAATGGAAATTCTTTTGTTTTCTATACAACTGAATAAGACAGTGATTATAATCTCATAATTATTTCAAATAAAAAAGGAAGTGGTCAATATATATTTCGATCATTTAACTCGAATAAATAATGATTCAAGAAAATTCTTTAATGAGGTAAAAAATAAGTTGATTTTGTTGAAGATTAAAAAAGAAATATCATTAGATCAATTTATATTATTCGATCTAAAATATGATGCAGTTAATAGAATAGATTTATTTTATAAATCGATACTTTGTCATTGCGTAAATTAACTTTTCAATGGATTCTTAACTATTGTTAACTGTTTAATAAAAAGAATAACTTGAAATTTTAATCACCAAAAAATCATTTGATTAAACTTTTTCTATAAGTACAAAAACATAATTGAAATTTACACATTCCTATATCAAATCATCCATAAAATTAATATAAGGATTGGATGTGGTGTAAATGCCAGTGCAAATCTTTCTCATTTCTCACTGTTGACTACACTTGAAAAAATGCACTTATTGACTCTATTCAATTTCAAGAATTTGAAAGATTAATAAGCAACTAACTATACAAACGTATAGAGTAGTACTTGTTATTTATCAGAATATTATTCAATATGCTTCCAGTTTCTGCATGCATGAGAAAGATTAATCATAAGATCTTACTTTTTCTTTACTATCATTGACTATAAGACACTCGTCTTCATTACCTCATTTACCAATAGAACTACGTTAGATTTGTAGTTCTTATATCATTAGATAGGCACTAAAAATATGTATTCAAATATATGAAAATTGATTACTAATTATTAAACTATGCTATCGAATATTACATCCAAAAATAGACTATTTTTCTTATTTTCTCATTTTTTAACATAATTTCAAATTGATCATATGTGTAAGTCAGTGGTGTGAATAAGCTGACATAGTTACGTACTACCTCTACCAACGTAATACTATACATATATATATACAATTCTAATTATGGTTTTTATTTATAGAAAAATATCCATATCCTCATTATAACGAAAGTGATCATTAGAGGCTAAATGCTGTATTTTGTCGTTCAAAAAATATCACGAAGCTGATTAAAAGTTCATAGAATTTTTTTATCAAATATTTTAGCACACTGAGACATTCAATCACTGTCAGTTTCAGCTTGACTGTAGATATTTTTCAATAGCATGATAGACTATCGGCAGAACCAGTCATAATATTACTCTTTTCACTTCACATATTGTTTTTCCTTCAATCTTGCAGATTGAATCCTTGTAATTGTTAATTCACGTGAGGAACACATGATACGTACAGATGAATAAGGTGTGTAATAATCGTATATATTCCTTTGACCATAATCATTTGATTTGAATTTAATTGTCTTAGAAGAGTGATTAACGAGAGCAATCAAATGTGCAGCTTTCATTTTGCTAGTGGAATATCTTTTTTCTGTTCAAAAACATTTTTAAATACTCGATGTGAATAATATGCAAGAGAAGAAAAATAAAGCCTCGGAAAATAACAAAATTTTCCCTGTGCTAATTTGTGGCTCCGTTGCACAACAGCAAGAATATGAATCAATCATGGAATATACGTCACTAAAATAACCTTAGTTTTCTTTGACATCTTTTACTTTAACGAGTTACTATATATATATATGAACAAAACGAGTCAAGATCATAAAATTCAGTACTGAGCAAATTATACCTATCACTGCAATGCAAAAATATAATAGATATGTATCAATGGAAAAAAAAAATTGTAAACATTCGATTTAATCTTTCTGTAAGTAGATGAATAAGTCATCAAGGTCAACTTGGTGCATTTCTCTCTTTCTTTAGAAAGTATACATTCGTTCTTTCTATTCAGAACCAACGACCGTCGATTGACATAAACTTTCTCTTGACAGAGTGACAAAAACCATTTTCCATTCTGTTGTTCACTTTCATTGCAATTTCGTAATTCGGTTATGCACTCAAGCCTTAAGGTAGGTCTCATTTGCCCCTCTTTCTACTTGCTCTAATTAATCAGTGCATTTTCTAATGAATACATACAACACATTTTCTGATTAGACAATGGAAAGAACAGGTATTGAAGATTCAACTTTATCACAAATACTTTCTACTGATGTCGAGCGTCAGAAGAACACAGTTTCATGCAAATGTAAAATTTGTGAAGCTCCTGCTCGATATTCTTATTATGGTGTTATTGTATGTCATTCATGCAAAATGTTTTTTAAACGAAATGCTGAAAATAGACAAGTCAATCGAATTCAAAATATTTTTTTTTTGCTTCATTGAAATTGATTTATTTAGGAAGTATCGAAATGTCACTATGGTAATAAATGCGATATTGCCATGAATAATCGTCATATATGTGCTTCATGTCGACTTGACAAATGCTTCAAAATTGGAATGCGTATGGAAATGATTCGATCACATCAATGCGAAAAAACCGATAAAAGTAGAAAGAAAAAATTGACTACTAATTCAAACCAATCAATATCAACGACGTCAGTAACAATAAACAATGAGCAAAAATCTGTACTGGTGAGATACTATTAGATCTGTTAAATCCAACATTTTGAGATATAGACCCAAGCCGTACTTCTAATTTCAAGTACATATTTTAATATAAATCCTATAGACACTCTGATTTCTGCGGATTGGTGAAAGTTGAGCACGAGGAAAGATGAGCACCGGAAAGTTAAGCACAAAGAAAGTTGAGCACGAAGAAAATTAAGCACCAAACAATAAAATCAATTCATACGTGGAGAATATAAAATGGAAAGTGAACATGAATCTTCTTGAGATCAAACACTAGGTGCGAACATGAACAGTAAATATATTTAACATTTTTCTAATTAATACCGCTTAATGAATAGGCAAAAGAAGATTAACCCTACTATCGAAAAATAACAGCACTTATTCTCTGATAAATTGTCCTTTTTTAACATACTAATTATTTTCATTAGTAGTTCAATGAAATCTTCGCACATGTTTTATTGTAAATAATATTATTAAATAGAAAACAGAGCATAGACATCGTTTAAGTCTTATCATATCTAAGCTTTAAAATTTCGACTAGTTAATCTTAAATAAGGACTAAAAATACAAGAAGCTATTAATTGTCCCACTGAATCAGTATTTTAACGTGCTTATCGAACATTGATTGTTTCTAAAAAAGTTATTTCATCAAAATGCCACTCATATTGGTTTAGTACCAATAAAAGTCGGAAAATGCCAAACTAGAAAAAAAGAGAGAAGCCTTATGAAAACAAAAATTAAATTTTATTTCAACATCCGGTCAGAGTTTTTTTAATTAAAATTTCTTCAGCCGCACATAATATTTCAATGTCATTTTTATCTATTACTAAATAGTTTCTCACTAAATGAAAGTAAAACTTTATTCCCTATTCAATAAATACCACATATATATATTGATTTTTTTTTCGTGCTTAACTTTCCAGTGCTCAACTTTCCGATTCCCGATTTCTGCTATCAATACATCCTACATATTGATCAGACAATATCAGTGATGATCTTATAATAATCAAGCCATAATTTACTGTTAGTTTTAGAGTATGATTCATTGAGTCGGTCCTGAACCTAAAATTTAGTTTGACTAAATCTGGAACCAACTCGAGATGCCACTCCATTGAAATGCTTCCATTAGCATGATAATTAATTCTTTCCAACTCGATCATGTATTAAATAAAACTGCACAAAAACTATGGTTATTGTTTACTTCTATATCTAGGATTATTGATAAGAATTCGAAATGAATAGTATTTATACGAAAACTTATTACAAACATAAGACAAATTTTGAGGTGTTCAAAATAATCTCGAGATTTTTTTGCTAGATTTTTGAGAATTTCAAAAAGACATTCTCTATTAAAAATTACGTTTTATTCTCGATTTTTTAGATTCCAACAACAAATCTCTTAGAATCTGATCAATCAACATTAAGTATTGATCAATGGAATCTTTTGTCAAATTTAGTTCATTGTTTCGATGAAAATAGTGGATATGCATTGGTCGAACGTTTTATAGAAGAACAAAATCGATTACCACTCAAATTAAGATTTAAATATCCATCAGTTTGTGAGTTTTTTATGTTGTTGAAGGGTAAAGTTCAAATTGTATTCGAAAAAAATCGTGATTTTCTTTCATTATCTCGTTATGATCGTACAACATTACTTCGAACTACATTAGAATATACAACAAGTATTGGTGGTATGTTTACATTACGTCAGTATAAATTATTTGATTATCCACCTTTCTATAAATCTGCTGAAATGATATTTCAACCATCTGCAGCAATCTTCACTAAACGTGTTATTGATCAACTTGATCCAGATAATACATTTATTAAATTAGTATTTGCAATACTTACTTTCTCGACAATCAATTATACTATATATAGAAAAAACGTTCATAGTAATTTAACAAATATCAAAGTAACTTTACCTATTCAAGATATGTACACAGATTTAACATGGCGATATCTTCTATACAAATATGGTCATCATCAAGCTGTAATACGTTTTTCAAATCTTTTAAGATGTCTTTTTGCTGTAATTGCAGCCGTTGTTGAAGCACATGAATCAGAAAAATTTACAGAAATGATCGATTCCGTTATTGAACAAACTGAACAAACACTTTGTTTGTAAACAAAAGAATTCTGTCGTTTTTTTTTGTACTGTTTATATTCACAACTAAGTTAAACAGTATGCACTTGTTAAATAAACATTAAGCAAAAGTTATTTAGTTATTGAAAAAAATATTTGGTTCGCTAGGATTGAAAATCGAGTTATCGTTTGCTATAAATAAATTTTTTCTTTACATATTTGCTTTATTTAATTTCTATAATATCATTCGCAATTCACAATAAGAGAAAGTTACTAACTTATTAAATCAAGCTCATCTGTCAAGAGGTAACATCAAAAGAGATTTTTCTAGCAAAAGTGTTTCGAGTAGAACATTTCTAAAAATTATTCTGGAACGTAAATTTTTCTGCAGAATATGTAGTATAAAAAAGAAACTTCAGGAATGAAAAGAATCGACTTGTTAAACTGTAACATTGTTTACATAATTATGCACTCAAACTTTTGTACTAATTGTATCATAATGTGTGAAAAAAGTATTTATTCCACAATCTTACTGATGATCTAGATAATCTAATTGATAAAATTTCGAGATGCTTGATAAAATGAAATAATTTATTCAATAACTTAAGCTTTTGAATTTCAAAATATATCAATAATCAAATTAATCTTTACAATAGATGATCATATTCTCTCGATGCATATCTCTATAGTCAGTAATACATAAAATGTCTGTTTCAATTAATTATCGCTTCACAACCACACGCCATTGTAACACAATTTGGTACAATTAGTTATAATAACATTTTATCAATAATAATTCACAACACTGCCAGTAGATCAATTATACGAATCCCTTATTTTTCTATTCAACACAGAAAAACAAATAGAAAAAATAGAACAGAAAAACGCTTAGATAAATTGTGCAATTTTATTGAAGAAAAACTTTTAATGTAGCTAATAAATATAACATTCGTAACACTCGAGAAAAATATCTAGTTCAACGAGACGTTTTATGACTAGGAGAAGATGAAAAAAGCATATTCATCTCTTGCTACTGCTTTCAATAAAAACAATTAAAACTCTTGTTCGTCATTGGCAGAAATATGAAGTGCTGTGATTATTTAAAGAGGCTAGTTACTCACTTTTACAAATCGTAAATCAAGATAGTTTTTCATAACAAAAAGCTCGAGAATTCTGAAGTCATATTCACCAGAAGTAACAATTGCAAAAATATAGCCGATTCAGCTATTTTATTCTTTGGCTTTACCGAACAGTTTTTCTATCATCTTTTGAGAACTACCATTGAAAACAATTACAATCAATATGGTTATAATTGTCGAAAAAACTATTGAAAATGTTGGTATGCTTGAGTGGAAAATTATTTATAGCTCCACCAGTTGGCAGATGAAGTCGAATAAAGGAAAAAATAGCCAAGCACTGATACTGCATTGTACTCGAAAGATATATCAAAGATATCTTCTAGAATTTCTTAGTCATTTCAAGTATACTGTCAACATGTATAATGAGCATATTAATGTGACTTGATTTGTATATAAGTCTGCCTAGCAATATAGCCCAAATACTTCATTGTATTTCAATATAGGAATATTAGTGAACTATGACGTAGCATTTGCTCTTCATTGCTCAACAGACTCATATGAAACCAACTCAACCTAATAGGTTTATGAAACACGTTCATAGTAGGACTAAAATAGCTATGCAGTTCAAGGGAGCAGCTTTCGAGGTGGAGTGTGACTGCATGTCTTTCCCATTTGTCACTAAACTCCTACACCCAAAAAAATGGACTTATTGACTCTATCAAATTTTAAAAATTTTAAAGGTCAGAAACCAACTAACTCTACTAGTATATAGGAGTAGTACTTGTACTTCATCACAATACTATCCGATATGCTTCCAAGTTTTGCATACATGAGAAAGGTTGATCACAATATCTGACTTTTTACTTATCATTGACCATAATATAATTGTCTGCATCACCTTGTTTATCAATAGAAACACTTCAGATTTATTGTTCTTGTGTCGTTCAATAGACACTAGGTATATGTATTCAAATATTTGAAAATCGATGACTAGTCATTACACAATGTCATCGAATAGTAGTATATTTAAAAATAGAGTATTCTTTCTCTTCTCTTATTTTGTAACATAATCTCACATGGATCGTATGTGTGAGTCAGTCATATGAATGAGCTATTATGATGTATACTTATAAAAAACAATTAATACCTTCAAAATAGTTAAAATGATGATTAGAAGTTAAATGATTGTATTTTGTGATTCAAAAACATCATGAAGCTAATAAAAATTTTGTAGGATTTTTTTATCAAATATTTTAGGTTAGTGTGACTTTCAATTGTTGTAATTTCCAGTTTCACTGAAGAAACTATTGCATAGCGTTTGAAATTATTATTGGAACTATTATTTAATTTTATCTTTTAACTTTTCATGTTGTTTTTTTTTCGCTCTTGAAGCTTGAATTGTTCTGTTTGTTAATTTACGTGAGAAACACGTGGTACGTTTAGATAAATGAAGAGTATAATGATTAAATACATTCATTTTAATATAGTTATAGGATTTGTATATGATTGTCTTAGAAAAATCACTGAAGAAAGTAAAAAGTGTACATATTTTATTTTGCCTAGTGAAATATCAATTTACTCTTAGAAAATATTTCTTTTATTTATAGAATTCAAAAATACGCACTAATATAAAAATAGATACTTGGAAAATAAAAACACTTGACTTGAAAGGAACTTATTGCTCTGTTATACAACAATCAGAAAATGATTTTATTATAGAATGTACATCACTTAAATAACCTTAGTTTTCTTTCACATTTTTTATTTTAACGAGTTACTATATATATACATGAACAAAACGAGTCAAGATCATAAAATTCAGTACTGAGCAAATTATACCTATCACTGCAATGCAAAAATACAATAGATATGTATCAATAGAAGAAAAAAATCGTAAACATCTGACCTAGCCTTTCTATATATATATAAGAGCATTGCACGAAGGTCAACTTAGTGCATCTCTCTCTCTTCAGAACACGCAAATTTATTCTCTTGATTCACCAACAAGGACCATTGATTGACATATAATCTTCTTGGTGGAGTGAAAAAAATCTTTTTTTTTCCATTCTGTTTCATTTTTATCGCAATTTGGTTATGCACTCAAACTATAAGGTCTGTCTTCTTTTTCTTTCTTTCTTCTTTCTCTAATTAATCAGTGCATTTTCTAAAGAATACATACAGCTCATTTTGTGATTTGATAATGGAAAGAACAGCTACAGAAGATTCAACTATATCACAAATACTTTCTACTGATGTCGAGCGACAGAAGAAAACAAATTCATGCGAATGTAAAATTTGTGGAGATTCTGCTCGATATTCTTATTATGGAGTTATTGTGTGTCATTCATGTAAAATGTTTTTTAAACGAAATGCTGCAAATAGACAAGTCAATCGAAATAAAATATTTTTTTTCTTCATTGAAATTGATTTATTTAGGTAGTGTTGAAATGTCATTTTGATAATGATTGTGATATTAACATAAATAATCGTCATACATGTGCTTCATGTCGACTTGAAAAATGTTTCAAAAATGGAATGCGTATTGAAATGATTCGATCACATCAATCCGAAAAAATCGATAAAACTAGAAAGAGAAAATTGATCACTAACTCAAATGAATCAGTATCAACAAATTCAATGACAGTATACAGGAATAAAAAACCTACATCACCAGTAAGTTTCTTTGTGACATATATTGTTTCATTTCTCTAAGTATTATCACAAACATAAAATTTGATATAAAAAAAAGAGCTTCTAAATTTACTTAATTTAATTGAAACTAACAACTTTACCTTTAAAATGAAAAAAGAAACATTCATTATCTTAATATAGCTGCTACTAAAAATGAGAATCGTAATAAGAACCACTTTATGTAAATTCATAGTAAACGTTCTTAAATTCAAATTATTCTGTCAACTGAATGGAGGGCCATCTTAGATAAAAAGCACTTGCATATATGTTTGCTCTCACGTGTCAAGTTCACGTGTTCAGATGTACTCCAATAACCGTCTTCTATCAAATTTAACCAAAGATTCTTGGGGTAACAGAAACCGAGTCTGTGCTTAAATTGTGAAAATTTTCAACTTGACTGTTTTGGTCAAAAAATGGTCTTTTGAGGAAAATAATGACTTTTTATACAGCTTGACCAAAGGTCACCGAGGTCAAATGATTCAAATCTGTAGTAAATTTTTGAGAATTTTGAATTTGACTTTCTTTTCGTTCAGGAAAAGGATTTTTAATAAAATTATGATTTTTTTTACAAAGCTTGATCAAAAATGATCGAGGTCACGAATGCGAATCTGTACTCAGATTTCATAAATTGTGAAGTTCATTTCTTCCGTTGAGGAAAACGTCTTTTGTGAAAATCATGATTTTTTTTACAAAGTTTGATCAAAGGTTATCGACGCCGGGGAGTCCAACTCTTTAATTAATTTTTTGAAATTTTGAATTCAGTTTTTTCGTGAAGCCGAAAGTTTTTTGAGAAAATAACGATTTTTTATCAATCTGCACCAAAGGTAATTGGGGTCAGAAATATAAATCTATATTTAGTTTTCCAAAATTTTCCGTTTCAGTTCTTCGGTCAAGAAACGAGTTTTTTGAGGAAACGGGTGCACGAAAATTGGTCGAACGAAAATTGATTGATACGAATATTAGTCACTACGAAAATTGATCAACGAGAAAAATAGTCGAAAAATTCTTAATTAAGAAAAAAGAATCTTTCAATAAGAGCGACAGCAGTGTAAAAAAATAAATTAATATCAGTATATAATCTGTCACTGGTACTTTTAATATAGTTGTTGCAGTAATGTGTGCAAGTAAAGTGGACTCCAACCTCTTTTCAGAACAGTTGGTTTTCAGCGAAAGAAAAAATGAAAATAAAAAACGGGTGCGAATGTCGATATGGGTCTTCTTAAACCCCATTGCACACTACAATTTACACCAGTTGTGGCACTCACACCTGCA